GTGCGGGCTCTTGACGTGACAGAACCACGATATATAGAGAGAAATAAATTTTACTATATAGATATGACATAGAGCTCCACCAAAGTAATGTCTTGGGAATGTTTGCTCATTCGAGGTTCTTTAACGTCCACTCAGTATACTAGTTTCAAGTATCTTTCCTCTATCGAAATACGGCATGGACGTCTAGACTTGAAGATGCGTCTTTCGGGTCAACAGCCGAGCATCGAAACCACTGCACCACCGCAGCGGCCTTAGTAAAGAATTTATCTTTAATAAACCGAGTTTGTTTTCACCTTTCTTCCTCAGCTCTTTTCTGCAGCTGTTGGACGTTTCGTGGTTTCATGCATGTTCACAGACACATGATATTTGGACCGAATATTACTACGTGCGTTAGTTCGGCGAATGAGAGCGCGAAAGGCAACACTGCTGGCTGAGCTTATTGATTGCCTAACTCGACATTCAAAATGGGATCACGCCACGGATCACCTAGGAGTAACGCGCACTATGTGCAGCACGTCGAAACTTGCAAATGATGTGTTGTCGTCACAATAGCGCTCTGCTTTTTTTTTCATTGTCTTCACAGTGACTATAGAAGTGACACCTTGCACCGTCCGCATCGTTTCGAGATGCGCGCCGTTGAAACGAGCGAAAGGGCAAGCTGCCGGGTGATATGGGACGAGCGTGCGGAGTACGCGCTCCCAGACAGAGCCGTGCCGCCGCCAGAAGGCGCAGCGACGCGCCTCGGCATGCGCTCCCGTGGTCTCTAAAATTGTGCACTCGAGTGTACTTTTGCCATCTATTCTTCATTGAAATGGCAGAGTACAGGGCTCTTTGTCAGTTGATATTTATGGGCTCGAAAGGCGTCGTCCTGTGATGGGCCCCATTGCAATTCCGCCTCGTTTCTTAACAGGTCTGTGGGCGGTGCAGCCGTGGACGCGAAGTTGCGCAGAAACTTTCGCAAGTACGATGCGATTCTGAAAAACACCCGCAGCTGTTTAAGAGAAGTTGGCACAGGATAGTTGGTTACAGCCTGAATTCTTTCAAATAAGGGCTGCACGACATCTTGAGCTATGGTATATCCGAGATAGGATATTCCCACGTTCATTTAGAAAAAAGAAGCGAACTGGCACATCTGATTGTCTTCCTTGCGTGCATTCACGTGCATTCGTGCGCCAGCCTGATGGACAGATGTCTTGCGATGCGAGGGTAGATCAGAAATCGCCGTGTACGCCCTCGGAATTTTTTCGTCAGTCGTCGTGGAGGGACACGCCTCTTCCTGTTTTTTCTGGCTGTTGCGGAAAAGTCTGTCCGAGTTTCCTGTCGGGCACAAGTTAGCCCAATAAACCATCTTTTGTTTTATTACCGTCGTAGTCTGCTTTCTTCCGCCTGTCTGTACGCCAGCCAGCCGTCATCTTAATGACATTTAATAGAAGTGCTGATGCTCAGGACACCCCTATCAGCCTGCCACACCAGCCTAAGTGTTTCTGACGCAGCGCATACAGACGAAGCCGCCAAAGAGAAGAAAGAGCACACCCGGAGTAGCCGCAGACTACAAGGGCTACTAGTTTAATTTGGACCACTGACAGTTACTTATCGTCGCCTTAACAACCACTCAACGTCGCCGATGGAGGCCCCCAGCGCATCTGCGCCGGTCATGATCCAGCAGCCTCCCCTAACCCCTGTGTTCCGGGGCTCCACTCGCGAGGATGTGCAAAACTGGCTTGAACGTTACAAGCGCATCGCAGCCCTGAACAATCGGTTCGAAGAAGACAAACCTCCGAACGTATACTTCGCACTCGAGGACTCCAGTATTACCCGGTACGAGAACCAGGAGCCCTACTTGGCAACATAAGATGCCTTCAAGAGGCGGACATTGAAAACTTTCGAAAGTGTTTTTAGCAAGGAGTGAGCTGAAGCCTTGCTTCTGTCTTGACAACAGCACCCAAACAAGTTCGTCACTGTATTTGCGGAGGAAAAGCAATAGCTATTTGGCCACGCCGATGTGAACATGAATGAAGACAAGAATCTTCAGTACCTTGTGAGGGCCGTCAAGGGAGCAACTGTTTGTGGCTCTCATTCGCAATCTGCTGAGGAGCATCGCCGATCGGGTTAGCGAGGCCGCCGCCATCGCGAGGATGCGCGAGTTGCACGCAAAGCATTATGACCGCAACAATCATGCCCCACCATCGGACTTCCATGATTCCCGAAGAACCGCTGCCGAGTCGCTCCAAGACGCCATTCGTGCTATTGTGCAGGAGGAACTCCGCAAGGTGCTATCGGGTACACAACCTGAAGTCTCATTCCTCACTCACGTCGTGTGAGATAAGGTACAAAAAGCCCTCGCGACACTTGGTCCGCCGAGATGACCCCGCCCGCATCACCGCCTCTTTTGAAGCCAGTGGTCCTCAATTACGCCACCACTCTGAAAAGTCAGTCGAGTCCAGACAGCTGGCGACGCGACTCCTACACATCGCCACATCACCCACCACCCCGCCCGCTGCCACCAAGGGTGCTTCAGCCACAAGGGTGCTTCCGTCAAACGATGCCGAGGAAGACTGCTGTTTGGTGAACAACGGATCAATGACCTCTTTGTTTTCACTGCGGAGAAGCCGATCATTGCGTAGGGTGGTGTTCTTATCGTCAGCTAGGCCTCCGCGGATACAACGTCAACGCCCGACCACCCGCTCCTGGTCAGCGATCTCCAGAAATCGAGGCCTACCTTAGAGAGACCGAGAACACCACCCCCCGTCGCTACAGGTCTCCGTCACCGTATTCTAACCACTCGCCATCGCCGAATCACCGGATTTGCCGCAGAACATCACCGAGCCCTAATAGGGGAAACTAAAGCCAGCGACGTTAGGAGGCGACGCCGCTCTACAGTGAAGACTGCGAAACCCTCCAGACATCCCGACGAAGCTAGACGGTATGACTTTGACCAGCTCCTCGACGCAACGTGACACTAGGACGACAGGTCGCAACCTGACACTACTGTCGCAAAAGCAATGTCGCGCGGAAGGCTTTTTCTTTTTCAGCTGCAACTGGATTTCTTTGCCAGATGGTCTTGTTAGAGGCGCTATTTAACGACTTGTCTCGAGGAGGGCACTTCGACGAAGAATGAGAGTCTGAAAATGAAAGTCTGCATCCAGTCGGCCACTGCGTGCTTCGCGCCAAACCAGGCACTGCGCCGTGCTTCCAACCAGGCTACACAAATTAGGTGCCTTTCTCCTCTTCTAACCACTACCAAAACCACCCCAAACAAGCGAGACACCGCTCGCGTTCTCCGGGGCAATCGGAGGCCGACATTTGAGCACTTGTGTATGCGTGAAGGCCCTTTTAGAGAATGTGCCCGTTTCAAAACGCTGCTACAGTTTTGTTGTGAGGCAGGCTTCAGCATGACCATGAAAAATCACGTTGAAATTGGTTATCCTCGGCTTGCCTAATTTGTCCGCGCACCCGTGTATGCTGAAAAGCCCTATTTAGGCAGCAACTCAGGCACTTTTGGGGTGATCGGACTCGGGGTCAACAGCGCATCTCACCACCGGAGACCCGTCATGCAAGCCGAGGAGTATGCCATCATTTTCCATGTTTTGCATTTGTGACTTAGTGCTTTATGTAAACTTAGGTTGTATTAGATAAATAAACCCCCAATGAGTTCTCCCCGAAATCATCAGTGTCGACTTGTCATCGCTTACCTGGGCGGAATTGCTCCCACACTTCTTCGTCTCGACGGTCTTCCGATGTGTCTAGCTTAAACACCCCAAAGTTTCGCTACACTACGACGACACCACTTCTTTACGCCGCAGCCGTGACCGCGCGAATTGACGGACGGCACAGTCAAGTGACCTATCTACATCAAAGCCCGATGACCAATGCCGACTTGCATGTGACCCTGAATGGGCATCCGGTAGTAGCCCTAATCGATACCGGGGCCGACTACTCGGTGGTTAGTGCAAGATTTGTGAACCGTCTCAAGAAGGTTAAAACTGCATAGGAGGGCCCTCAAATACGCATGGCAGGGGGCCACCTGATAATGCCTAGTGACGATGCACTGCGTGAGTGGCGGTTCACGGTCACACCTACCCCGTGAGTTTCATTATCACACAGCAGTGCTCTCGTGACGTGCTGTAACGTTGTGGTTCTTGTTTTTTATTTCGCACAACGTGCAGGTTCAATTAGCGAGGTCCAAAGAGCCACCTCAGAATACTTCCCGAAGGAAAAGTCTGTTTGACGCAAACATTTATTGGCAAAAGCTTCAGACCACTTAACACAAAATATAATGATTCCCACCTCTCGCATACGGTGACGAAGAAATACAGAAGCTGCACACTAGTCCCTAAACAAAAGGTCCCAAGCACGCAGTTCCTATACGCAGAGTACGTCGCTGGAGCGTTAAAGGAGCGGCATCTCACCCACGTCGTTGCGCAGGAGCCTGGGCAGGAAGCACGGGGCTAATGTCGTCGCCCCAGGTGGCATTGGCGTCGAACAGCCACACGAACCGCAGAAGAAGCAGCCTTCCTAGGCTTCCGGTGGACGCTGCAACAGCTGACGCAGCAAGCTGACGCTGCCTTTCACGCACTGGCCTCGAGGTAAAGACCCAGCCAGACAGCCTCGCCTGAGCTCGAACCCGAAGATCGTCAGCTCAGACCTGTCCACGGGCACGGGAACGGCAGCGCAGCCAGATAGTTCTGGAGCCCCTCTGGATCACCGGACGATAGAGGTAGCAGCCTTAGCTCGTGTCCGAAACCCGACCACCCTGATGCATGGCTCGTCTTCCTCTCGCCACCGCTGCCGCTCTTCTCTTCTTCCTGTCTCGCGCGTGCTTTGAACCATGCGGCGTCTGCGTCGAATATGCGCTTCCGTCATTTCTTGTTATTCATTACACTCGGGCCAGCTTCTTCTTCCTTGCTGACTTCAAACTTGGTTCATGGCGCACACTTGAAATTCCACACGCCCGTTTCAAGTTTCGCACACTCCACCCGTTTTCGATTCCGCGCACTCCATCACACGTGTATCTTGGGATGGACTTCCTCGACGAAAACGGTGCAGTGATCGATCTGCAGACGAAGACCGTGACACAGTTGAACTCAGCAATGAGCGTCAGTGCAGAGAAATCATCGCCACGCCGCATTGATCATCGCCACCGAACAAGAAGCTTTCGGGCAAATGCGAGCATCATAGCACTCGTAGAAACCGATGAGCTGTCTTGTGCTGACGCCATCGTAGAAGGGAACGTGTAGCTGCTTTTCGATAGACAAGTTTGCCTCGCTCGTGGTGTCGTCCGACTGCGTCAAGGCAGAGCAGTGGTGCTTGCCACAAATTTCACCACTGAACTGCAGGCACCTCAGCAGGGACACGACAACCGCTTTCCGAGAAGATTTGTTGAAGTAAGCGCTAACCTACTCACCTTGGAAAGCACCGTCGACAGCCAGTAATTCCGTGAACTTTGACATTACCCACGATCTGCCGCAACAGCAACAAGAAAAGCTGCGCCGCATCCTTCGGCAATATACCGATTGCTTTGCGAAATCGTCGAAGACTGGGAAAACATCTTCAGCGAATTATTGCATAATTATTAATGAGTCAGCTCGTCCCCTTAGCCGAAGTCTCTACCGTGTCCCAGCACGCCAACAAGACGCCATCAAGAAACAAGTTGAAGAAGTGCTCCGCGACGACATATTTGAACCCTCCCAGAGCCCGTGGTCTTTACCCGTAGTGCTTGTGAAAAACAAAGATGGTACTTTACGTTTCTGTACCGATTATCGGCGCGTATAGAGCATCACCGAAAAGGACGTCTACCCACTTTTTTTCATGGAAGGGCAATGCCATGTTTATTTAGAAAAAGAAGCGAACTGGCATATCTGATTATCTTCCCTGCATGTGTTCGTGCCCCTGCCTGGAGGCCAGAGTTGTTGCGATGCGAGGGTAGATCAGAAATCGCCGTATACACCCCTCGGGGATTTTTGTGAGTTGCCAGGTAGAAACACGCCCTTTCTTGTTTTTTTCGGCCTGTTGCGGAACACTACTGTTCGAGTAGCCTTTCGGGCACAAGTTAGCCCAATAAACCATCTTTTGTTTTACACTTTGTCAAGATTTTGCAGGTGCTCTTCTTCGGTTACCCCGATAACAAGGATGTTATCTAGGTATACCACACAGGTATAGTCTTTCAGTGAACCCAGTGCTGCATTCATGGCCTCGCTGGGACATACTCAGGGCCGTTCGCGAACCGAAAGATATACAGTTAAACTCGTATAAGGCAGAAGGGGTACGGAAAGCCATGTTGCACTTATCCTCCCCGGCGATGTTGATTAGCCAATACCCGACTTTCAAATCAAGGAATGAAAAAAACTTGACTTCTTTTTGGTGTTGATCGCGTCGTCAATACTCGGAAATGGGTACGATTACCGTATGGTGCGTTTATTTAGCTCCCTTTAATCTACACAAAGTCGTAGACTCCCGTTATTTCAGGGTACTAAAGCGACAGGTGCTGCCCAGAACTTCTAGACGGCCTGATTGCATTGGCAGCTAGCATCTCTTCTACTTGTTCGGCAATCACGGTTGGCTCTCTTTCTGCATATTGCCGTAATGGCACCAACACCGGCGGATGATCCTCACTAGGTATACGATGTTGAAGTATACTTGTGCCGGGAAACTGCGCCGGACTATCAGAAAAAAAGTGCTTTGAGCCTTTCGAGTACGGCTGAGATTGTGTGCAGTGGTGCTTGCTCACCTTACGAGTTTCGATCAGAGGAAGTACTTGGGTCAAGCTGCGGAGGTTGACGCCATCGCCATCCATGGTTGGTTGCCCTCGCCCAAAGAGGAGGTAGTACACTACGAAAACTAGGTCGGCCGGTAACTTTTCGAAAGCGGGAACGGCGGGAAGCGACTGGCTTCAAGCTTCGGTGCGTAGGTGCAGGTCAACCACAACTACAGAGAGCATGGTGCCCCCGATCTCACGTAGAGCTGGCTTGGTCCAAAGTTGAAGGTGGACTTGTGCGTGCCGTCGCAGCAGAGCTGTTAGCTGGGTTCCAGTATCCACTATATAGCACATTGAGGTCCACGATGTCTTCATCAACACCGACCCGAACTGTTGGAAGAGGTCGCGTCTTAAACTGAATGTCTTGATGCAGCCCTTGTAGGTAGTCTTTGTAGTCGTACCGTAGCGCCCGCATGAAAAACATCCGCGTGTGCGGTCACTCACGGTGTCCTGTGGAGTTACTGCAGGAAGGCGGCGTCTAGCAATTTCCTGTAGCTCAGGTGCCTGTCGGAGGAAAGCCTGAAGGTCCTGCTCGGCCGTCTGCACAGACAGTATCACCGCATGCGTCGAATCGTGCAGTACATCGATGACATACTGTCTGGCTGTCGGGGAGGGCCAGCCCATGTCACAGGCTTGCAGGAACGATAGTTTGTCGCAGATATATATGGCAATGTCTTCAGTTTGAGCTTGGCTGCGCGACCGCATTTGCATGAAGCGAGCGTTATAGGCTCCCGGAAGTGGCGCAAATGTGGACAGGAGGGCCCAAGAGGCATCTTTCTTCCCTGGAAATAATGCCATGCTTATGCTGCTCCTCGGAGGCGTCATTCCGTGAGATATTTTTGTAGGCTACGGCCAAGAGTATTTCATGGAGACAGAGTCTTCGGTCGCGACCCTGTGAAATTCCGGAACGGCACTTTCACTGAGTGTCAGGAGTGCAGCGACGCAATAATCTGCAAACTACTTGCACGGTTGGCGAGGTGTTCAGTCAAGACATCCAAGAACCGGGCCATCTCACAGTCATAATCCTGCGGTGAAGCCACCGTGGAGGCCTGATCGCCATCCGCAGAAAGTAGGGGCTGCGAGTTTAGAAGCACTCGTCCGCTTCGATAAGTGATGGCAGTTGGATTATTGGCTTCTGATGGCTCTGGAGTTTGCGATTGCGAAATCGTAAAATAGAGAAAAGAGACAAGGCTGGTATACCCGGTCGGCTGTTCTTATTTTGATCTTCGTCTTTCTCGGGCTTGTACTTCTTGCCAGCGCCCGAGCCCGTTGACGCTCTTCGTCATTACAGTAAACACTTTCATGGACCGAGTTGAGCCCCAAAACCTGATGCTGTCAATATCAAACTGAAGTTCTGGTGAATCATGAGCCTCAGTTATATGCGTTATAGGACACAACCTTCAGCGAGTATCTAGATTCTTTCGCTATTTCTACTCTTTTGCCAATTTTTTGCAGGTCGACCATTTACATTTTTTTCGAACCACAAGCCGTTAAAATGTGCGCTTTGCAGAGGGTCGTCAATGCATACGCCACGAGAACTACACCATCTCTTGTTTACACCAGGACTCTCCACGGCATCCGACACGTCAGCGGTGCCCAGAACATACCTGCTGACACTCCCAGCCGGGTGGACGCCGTTTCATCTCCGGTAACCCCTGTGCCACTCATGTGCAAACGCTCGCAGCACACTAAGCTAATGATCCCACACTCATAACACAGCGCTCATCTAAAACAGCCCTGGGTGTGCTCAGGCAACGTCGGTGCATCTTCGCCGACCCTTTTAATTTTGACAAAAATTATATTTTGTTTTCAGAGTTCCCAAGACCTCAACACCGTTTCTGGTATCGCGAAAGAAGTTTATTTCTCAAAAAAGTTTTGAAGTGTCTGCTTCAGCTTTTGTGAATGTACGACTTGCGTACGCAACAACCTAATCTTCGTAGCCAGGGTTTTGTTGAGCGAGAAAAGTACCAAGATCGACACCGCTATCATGTGTGGATTTCCGTAGGAGCGCTTGCATCGTAATTGCGCAGTACCGGTGGTGTTGTGAGTAGCTGATTGATTGATATGTGCGGTTCAACGTCGCAAAACCACCATATTGCCACGTTCCATTTCCCAAGTTTTTGTTATCGTCCGAAAACACCGCACGATTCTCAGCGCAAACCGCGCCTGCAGTTTTCTAGAAGGTTGCGGACTGTAGTAGATCATTTCGATAAGATCACGCCCACTGTGCGAACGGTATAGATTGTTCTGGAAGCTACGCCACCGCCAGCGATAATGCTAGAACATTCGACGGCAAGAGTATAAATGCCGACGCGCTTCGCCGCTTGTCAGTTGTTGATCGAAGGCCGACGCTGCGTTCGCCGCTATCAGTCCGAGACTGCTATCTGTGCAAGACTGCTGCTGTAACTAGACTTTCCCTTTACCGGGCACAGGTTCGCCCAAATAAACAGTTAAATCCCGACACGAAGTTTTCTGTCTTTGGCCACGTCACGACTTCGTTCATGTACCGGACGCCCCCGTTCATGTACCGGACGCTTCGTTCATGTACCGGACGCCCCCGTCAAGCCGTGAACCCAGCCCCCTTCGCGGAGAAGACACCGACGCCAACCAACAGCAGCGAACGAGCCGCCGACAGTAAGGTCTCCCACCGGAGTACGGCCTGCTACAAGACAACGCGCGGAAGACCAAGACCATGACCTCGACTGCAGCGACAATGACAACCGGAGCGTCCCAGCCCGCGGTCGTCATTCATCAACCCAGGGAACCACCAACGTTCCATGGCTCATCGTTTGAAGACCCGGAAACCTGGCTAGAAACATACGACCGTGTGGCCGCCCTCAACCACTGGGACAATGAAGAAAAGCTCCGTCGTGTGTACTTCTACCTGGAAGACACCGCAAGGACCTGGCTAGAGAATCGGGAGTCCACGCTCCGAACGTGGGATGTCTTCTGCGGCGCATTTCTTCAAACGTTCGCAAGCGTCGCTCGCAAAGAGAGGGCCGCTGCTCTACTCGAGACCCGGGTTCAGCTACCAAACGAAAAGGTTGGAATTTTCACAGAGGAGATGACCCGCCTATTTCGTCACGCTGACCCAGACATGCCTGAGGAAAAGAAAGTTCGTTTCCTCATGCGAGGGGTCAAACAGGAGCTCTTCGCGGGACTAATGAGGAATCCACCGAACACCGTCCAAGAATTTGTATCCGAGGCGACCACCATCGAAAAAACGCTGGACATGCGCACCAGACAGTATAATCGTCGCCTGACTCCAGAATGCGCTGCTGCTCAAGCCAGTGACTCCGACGACCTGCGTGAAATGATCCGAGCGATCGTGCGGGAAGAGCTGCGCAAACTGTTGCCTTCGGTGCAGCCTCAAGTGGATTCAATCGCCGACATTGTGCGAGAAGAAGTCCGGCAATCGCTTCGAATTCCCGAAACACCACCGCCCGAGCCAGAAACTATGAGCTACGCCGCTGCAGTGCGCCACAGCACTCCTCCCCGTCCACGCCAAAACGCCGCCCCGTCACATTTCCGTCGCCAGACGCCACCGCCGCCACCACCCCAACCGACGTCCTACCGTTCCCCAGCGGGCCAGTGCAGTGCACCGAGAAAAACGGACGTTTGGCGTGCATCTGACAACCGCCCGCTCTGCTACCACTGCGGCGAGGCCGGGCACACATACCGCCGTTGCCAGTACCGACAGATGGGACTCCGTGACAATATGATTATGAGAGACGCTGCAGTGGAGGGCTCCGGAAATTTCGACTACCTGGGGTTCTTTAACGTACACCCAAATCTGAGCACATGGGCCTACAACATTTCCGCCTCCTTCGGAAATGCAGCCGCCGCAGCCGGGATTAAATCCCGCGAACTGCGGGTCAGCTGCCGAGTACAATAGTCACTAGACCACCGCGGCGTGGCAAGTGTGCGTAGCTGACGTAACTTCGCAAACGCAGGATCACAAGTCGGAGACCAGAAGAATAGATTGGGGTCTCCCTGAAGCAGGGCCTTCAAAGGCGCCATAATTGAGGCAAAATTGCGAGTAAAGCGGCGAAAGTACAAGCAAAGCCCAATTAAACTGCACAGCTCTTTTAGGCACGTGGGTCTTGGGGAATATTTAACAGCACGCAGCTTGGCGGGATCAGGGAGTAGGCCATTATTCGACACGACATGGCCTAGTATGGTCAACTTGCGTGCCCCAAAGCAACACTTCTTTAAGTTTAGTGGGAGGCCAGCCTCTGCGAGACATCGTAAAATTTGCTATGAGCGACGTAGGTGCAAGGTGATCTCTGGCAAAAGTATCGCCACATCATCCAAGTAGCAGAAGCATGTATTCCTTTACGGCCTCGTATAATAGTGTCTATCATGCACTTATTATTGTCAGCGCATTGCAAAGGCCGATTGACATCCCACTAAATTCGTATACAACATTCGGCGTGATAAATGTAGTTTTTGTTTGTCATCTGTATTCATAGGCACTTGCCATTAACCAGACCGTGGATCAACAGACGAAAAGAACTCAGCATCTTTTAGATGGTCTATGGCATCTTTGATCGGGGTAAAGGATAAACACCCTTTCGCATTAGCTTCTTTTTTACACGACATTAATCTACGCAAAAGCTTGTTCTGTCATATTTTTCTTAACTAAAACAACAGGAGATGCCCACGAAATATTTAACAGTTGAACGACGCCCTGCTTAAGCATGTCACCTACGTGTTCAATAATGACGCGGCATTCAGTCGACACTATACGATGTGGTCACTGCCATAGAGGTGGGTGATTACCTGTTTCTGTGCAATAGTATACTGTCGATTACTGGCCTCGAAAAGTGCGGTGGCTGTCGAAAGCTCCACGAAATTTGTCAGGGAGATCTAAAAGATCACGCAACTGCTGTGGCTGCAGACCGTCCTTGATGACATGGTTGAAAATGTCGCCATCCGACGTCAGCGGACTACAGAAGAGGGCGTTAACCTTTGGTGATCTATCTGGAACGCCTAACGTAGCGACGGTTTCGCAAGGCTCTATGGTTCCGATATATTCACCCCAAAGCAACGTAATCGAGAATGGAAGCGCATTTCCCACGGGTACGTCGGTCGCGCTTCCTTGCAGAATCAGGAGAGTGGTTGGGGTTGTGAGAGGTGACGATGAATGAAGACAGCAGAAGGTGTGAAGAGCGCGGTAGCGTCAAAGGGAGCGGAACATGATACAGGTGCCATGACAGCAGCGTGCGGAGGGATGTGAGTGCCGTCCCTGATAACCAACTTCGCACGGGAGAGGGGACCACCGACAGCTAAAGCATGGACAAGTGAAGAAAAGGTGACTTGTGCACGGGCGCAGTCAATGAAAGCTTGGAGACGAGACAGAAAATTCAAGTCTAAAATAATTTTTTGTGAAAAGTGCCGAAATACGATGAACTTGACGGCGTAAGTCACTCCGACTGGCAGTACACTCCACCACAGGCTGGAGGGGCTGCATCATGGCAGTGCGAAGAAACGGACCGAAAAAAGGGGTCTTCACTTTTTAAATTAAGCGGCACAGTTTT